CTCTGCCACACAAGCGGAAGGCGGAGGAGACGAATCGGCGCTTGAAGGGATGTTGCGACACCGTCTGGATGCCACCTTTTGGGACCACAGCCAGCACATGAGGATGGGACCTGAACTGTTAGGCAAGGATGGCGTCCACTTGACGTCAAAAGCCAATGCCCAGTTCTGGCTTTCCATTCGTAAGTGTATGTGTAAGTACGTTTAAACGCACATGCCCTGTCCGGTAGATCATCATTTTATCGTAATTCCCAAACTCTATAATTGTCGTTTCGGCCCATTGTGTTGATATACAGCAGTGGCAAAAGGGTTCCGCGTGTGAGACGATCAGTGCAAACGGGACGCACAGATCAGTAAAATCTGAGCGCACGGGGCTTAGCTTGGGATGGCTTTAAGGGTGGGAAAACGTGACGACATCCGCACGTGTCGCACATGACGTGAAAGCTAAGACCCGGGGCTTTCGATCCATAGTAACGACAAAACCCTGTGGTCGATGTACAAAACATGACAAGCATCTGCAGCGTGAAATACGGCCGTAAATCGGGTCAAATCGGGCTTAAGAGCGCCTCGGCTTCGAACCCGTTAAAGACAGGTCACTTCTGATGATACCACCAGTTGGCCCTGGGAACCAGCTTCACGTCGATGTGCAACATGTCAATGGGTTGTGTATTTTTGTCGTCCACGCGACGTATAAAAGATGATCGCAGAGCAGGGCTCTTTTCTTGGTAAAAAGACATGTCTGTATCAGATGGCCCAATGGACGTGGACGTCCAACCAGGTGCCCCACGTCCACCCCGTGACGATCCCAGGTGCCTTGTGCACGTGGCAACATTTTCATATATGATATGCGTGCATATGTTTCTTTCTCCGGTTGCGAGACGATTAGTGCAAGCGGGATGCAGAGATCAAACCCCTTTTGATATGAAATCTGAGCTGTTTTGGCTCCCGTCACACGCACGGGGCTTAGCTTCGGGGGGCTTTAAGGGTGGGAAAACGTGACGACACCCGCACGTGTCGCACATGACGTGAAAGCTAAGACCCGGGGCTTTCGATCCATAGTAAGGACAAAACCCTGTGGTCGATGTACGAAACATAACAAGCATCTGCAGCGTGAAATACGGCCGTAAATCGGGTCAAATCGGGCTTAAAAGCGCCTCGGCTTCGAACCCGTTAAAGACAGGTCACTTCTGATGATACCACCAGTTGACCCTGGGAACCAGCTTCACGTCGATGTGCAACATGTCAATGGATTGTGTATAGTCGTCGTCCACGCGACGTTTAAACAACAACACCCACCGTGTCTGGCCCGTGATATAGGGCATAGAGATTTGGTAGCCTCCCTGAATGCGAGAGGCTACCCATTAGGCTGACGTTACGAGGGGGAATCCCCCTCCCGCCCATGCGTGAAACAAGGTCATAGCTCGCATCCTTATAGCGTGAGCCGACGCCATGATGAAAAAGTCGTCCGTTTGTATAATGGGACCAACGCATATGAATGTAAACTTATTGGGCGAAATAAACAACGACAATATACAACTTCTATACACAATATTTAATAAGCCTGTAAATCTAAGTAGCAACAGATGCTACTTTCACGATACATCACATCATAACATAAGCCTTTATATACATGATGGCTTACAATTTCAAACTGTTTCCAACCTGCTAATTATCATGTATCCACCGTATAGCATATTCCATATAATCCATGTGTTCGACATACAGCATGGTATATTCTAATATTCCATGAGATCAACAGTCACATTTTTTTTCACATGGTCATGTAAACAGGCCTTGTCATGTAAACACAGTCCTCACTCTCGTACGGATTCGTAACAGGCGTCATCCATAAGTACTCCCTGCTGAACAGAACACTGTCACAGGTTTATACATAGTTTTACACCATCCACTTGTATCCAACAATATATATATTTCGTGTTGCAGTGGCTTGTGTTTAAGACAGTCTTACTTTGTCCACACGCCTCGCTATACATAATATACTTGTAACTAGGTCAGTGTGTCAGTCAGCCAACCTTTCATATCGTTTTACACAACTATAATGCAAATCATGATTATGAAAACGTAACCACCAAGTTTTACAGTCATTTACACGCGTAATTATAGCAATACATTTATAAATAGTTGTATTAGCATTTCTTAAATTATGTTTCATGCACTGACATTTTGTAGTGTCATTTCGATGACAAACCCTAAAATCAACAATTAATTCCACGAAAAACTCGTAAGAACGAGGAGATGGTGTTTGTAATCTAAAACTCATTAAAAGACGTGAATATAGACCAGAAATGAATAGATAATGATTAATGAAAACACAAATAATGAGTGCAGATGAGCTATAATCGATTTTCAATCGTTTTAATTGGTTGTTCTCTCCGACGTCCGCGCCTGCCAAATAAATACAGTGTCATCGCGCGGGTCGTTTCATTGTCGATTGGACTGCTGCTGAGGTCAGATGTACGCCTTGTTCCCATAAATACCCAGACGTTTCTAAGACTACCTACTGGAAATCTATAGAAGTAAGCATTGCTACTTCACAATTTCAGTGGAGAAGTGATAGACTGGTAGTTGGTATTGTTTATTCAATATTTTTGTTATTTATTCAACATTTTAATTACTCATAACTTACGAATTAATTTATTTGTTATGTATTTATTAAATATTTTATTTGTATTGTTCAATTATTTTTCACATATATATGTAAAATAAACCTGATCCCCTGAATAATCTTCCGAAACAGATTATCTCTGCTAATCTTCTGCTTATACAAGTTAAGGGAAACAAAGTCAAAACGGATGATATGGATCTATTTGCATTCTTAGATTTTCATCAACACCAGGAATATTCTCCCAAATGTTTCCACAAATCTAACAGTGAAGATGATAAGCAATATCTTTATGAGCAAGAAAATCAAAACACTTGAAAGAAGCCTGCTTATGACCATTCGCTTATGTTGATGTGAGGTTAGTTGACATCAGTAGAAGAAATAGAATCAATTGTTTTTAATGATACTATATCTTTCTTGCGTGCAGAAATGTATCTGAAGAAAGGTCCAACTAGCCCACATAATCCGTACATGCTTCCAGTCAGGTGAATGTTCGAGAGGGTATTCCTTCATGAAAAACTACAGCTCAGGTTATTTTTCAAAGAAAAGTTCTTCATTATGTTTCGTTTGTCGTTATTCCGTCAGATCAGGGATCTCATGTCATTTCATGTTTTTTCAGCAGTCTATGTATTAGTTTATGTATATCTCATCGTCGTTGAACCATCCAGTGCATATCATCCTGCATCTCAGGTAACTATACAGAGGTTTCGTCACACTCTTCAGTATCTTAGTATTTGGAAATATATGGGATGTCATTCACTCATTCATTCATTCATTCATTCATTCATTCATTCATTCATTCATTCATTCATTCATTCATTCATTCATTCATTCATTCATTCATTCATTCATTCATTATGATGTAAGAGAGTAAGTTCAGAGGGACATACAAACACCTGGCTCTCGTATGAAAGACAATTTTATCATGCCACTAAGATTACATTCTTAGTGTCTTGAAAATATACTTACTAGATGTTTTCGCCATGTTTCTCCTCTAGCTAATTAATCGAATTGTGATACTGTTTGAACTTGTGACTTGGCGGCTTCACTGTCAAGTGCAGCCCTTAAGTTAAAGATAACTCAGCTGTAAAGTTGTGTCGTAAGTGTAAAATTCATTTGAATCAAAAGATTCAACTGTCAGAAATATTTCAGGATTTTGCTGTTTCTGTAACTTGCAATTTCGTAATGACAAATGTGTTGCGTTTTCAAATGAGTGAAAATCAAACACATTATCAAACTTGTTTCCTGATAAATCAACATTGCTAACATTTTCTAAACCCCAATGTGCATTAAACCATGAACCAAGTTAGAAGCCAGGAGAACAGTTTCCAGGTTGTGTGTGTTTTTGAAAGACGATTTCTTTGATGGTGTGTGAACCTCCTGATATATCAATTAAACCAAAATATCTAATTTTGCTTTTAGATTTACCTGATGCAGGTGAAGGTGACACTAGAATGAATCCAAAGAAGGGTGTTCCATACATGCTTGATGCTTACATGATTGAAGCAATTCATAGTAACTGAAGTTCACTTTACATTTTTGTGCCAAACTTTGATGGTAAAAAAACATGCAATGGCTGAATGCTGTTGCTAAACCTGACTCTTACTCAATACCAAAAATCAATGATTCCATCAACAAAATCAGTCAAGCAAGTGTCTCACCATGTTTGACCTATTGAAGGGATTTGGGCAGTTTCCACTACCTGAACGGACCATTCAGTTTAGTGATTCCAGACAGATTTTTATAAATACAAATAATTTCGGAAGCCACCCTCCAGTCTCTTATCAATCGTAATTCAAGCAGTTTTGAGGACGCCAAAAGCCTACACGGATGCATATTAGCACTCATTCAATATATGGGACAAATACTCCACACTGACCCGTGCCTTCTTCAACATATTCAGACTGAAGCCAGGTTGACAGCAAATTTGGAGAAATATTAATTTGTTCCTGCATGTGAGTAATTTTGGAGCCATGTCATGACCAACCCCTTCTAGAAACGATGGAGGTTATTTTAAAAGTTGTGTTTCAAGACGTAGTGACTGGATATCATGCACATCCATAGCTTTAACAAATCTAGCGACACACTGTTCATATGTTATATTGCATTATATTGTTAAATGCAAGTTAGACTGCATGTTCCAGATGTTTGTTTAAGAGACAATAGGACCCTGGAATAGAATGATAAAATATTTATCATCTGTCAACATGGCTGGTGAGAGATGTTCCAAGAATTATTTAGCAGAATAGACTTTTTATTCCTGGTAGTTGTTGTTTATACTAAAATAATGTTATAATTGTGAATGTAGTCATTGTTTGTTATAAAAGCTAAACATGTGACAAATAGAAATATTATACGCTAGTGAAATATGAGAATAAACTATTGGAAAGGATTATTCTTTTCTACATTAAAGGCACACAGATAAGTATTAGATATGAATGGTGACAATAAACATGGAAAATATACTCAACGAACTGACGTGCATTTTGTGCATGAAAACAAAGAACCCCAAACCAATATACAGGAAAATGTTGTTGTACATATGTACATCTATAACTGATAAAGAATAGTTGTGGGAAACAAGCGGTTTCTTTATATCAACTGATATACTAAATCGACAGGAATCTTAAGAGGTCCATCACTGTTATCACTTGAATACAATCTTGGTCAAATGAAAATGGGAATGAACATTGTGAACTCCTTTGCCAGAAACTGGCCACAGTGTGGGGAGAGTTTCTGGACTTTGGGGTTTCTAGAATTTAATTGTGACGTTGACCTATAATCATGAAAATGAAAATGAACATTTCTTATCATTATTAAATTTGCAGATCATGCATATCCATACCTATCATCACATTTGACGTTTACAGTACGTGTCTTCCAGCAACCCACTGTCGATATGTTATAGGAAAACGCATGTAGGACTACATGTTTCATAGGAGACCATGCGACGCTAGAATGAAGTGATAAAATATATGCGTATTTTCTGTCAACATAGTTGGTTACAGATGTACAAAGGATATTTGGTAGAGTAAATGTACCGGGACATTGCTATACACATGTACATCTAAAGCTGAAACAAACAGATACTTTCTATCAACTGACATCATAAATCGACATTAATCTCAAGACGCGGATCACATTAATCACTTACATAAGACGTCGGTCTATAATCGTGGAAGTGGAAATGGATGTTTCCTATGATTATGAACTGTATTTAGTCCACCTGTTGTTGCCACGGATTTCAGTTGCTCGGTGATTGTTCCAGACTAACAATGGTAGATATGTTCACAATTATCAATTGTCATCAACGTCTTATTAATAACTTTCAACACGTTAGATTCCAGCGGTTTATCTGAGATCCTTCCACAGAGTCCCGTCTCCGTCGTCCTGGTAATCCTCTGCACGCAATATGCATTTCTCCTCTACAACATTCAGCAGACGCTCAGGCAGGTCCTCCACCTGTACGGGGCCCACAAGTAGCACAATGATCCGGTTAGGAATCAGATCCGTTACCGAGTAAAGTGCTGCATCAATGGTAAATTGGGACCACTGAGAACAATCTTGAAGGAAGTCATCTGAAATCACCAGAACAGACTTCCAACTGTTAGTGATACCGCAAATAATACCGTCGGCGATAGGAACACCTGGAAGAACATCCCGATCCTTCAGAAACAGACGCACAGGCTGATTACACAGTTCCAGCTCTGGTCGTACTTTCCGATAGACGAAAGGAATGTCAGCCTCACAATACGCGACAAAGAAGGTGAAATCAAAATCTTTGGCTGTTAAATATTGGATGCCCAACCCAAATAGTTTCAGCAAAGCATTACGATATCGCACTGGATTGTTGGAGACTATGTATACTGCAATAATTGAAGTAAACATTACAACCATTAATGTAACTGTGATGCTAAGCATCAGTTTGCCTGTACAGTAGTGAAACAATCTTTCATGATGTTGTGCCACATCCACAGTTCCTGTCATTGTGCCATTATCCAGAATGCAAGGGAAGTTCCTGTCAGTCTCGTAAATGACAGGTGTATCCACCAACCAAAGAATGAAGTCCAGATTTTCACAGCTACACGAAAAGGTGTTCCCTTTGAAAATAAGTTTGAGGTTGTTCTTTTCAAATGACAAATCCAGTTTTGATCTTGTGCCTTTATCCAACTGTCCAATCAGGTTGAAGGACATGTCGATAAGGATAAGCCGTGGATATTCAATGGTTTCAATAGGAATGGTGTCAAACTCATTGTGAGATAAATTTAGATGAGCGATTGTATTAGAAATTGGACGAAGTGATATATCAGTCAGTTCATTCATTGAAACATCCAAGTATTGTATTGATTTCAGAGGACTGAATACACTATGTTCACTAAAGGATTTATGGGCAAATTGTAACTTGCAATTTCGTAATGACAAATGTGTTACGTTTTCAAATGAGTGAAAATCAAACACATTATCAAACTTGTTTCCTGATAAATCAACATTGCTAACATTTTCTAAACCCCCAATGTGCATTAAACCAAGAAACAAGTTAGAAGCCAGCAGAACAGTTTCCAGGTTGTGTGTGTTTTGAAATTCAATTTCTTGTATGATGTTTGAAGATCCTGATACGGCAGTTAAACCAAAATATCTAATTTTAGGAGGCAATGTGAATGTTACTGTTATGTTTTTACCTAATGTTTCATAACTTTGAGTCCTTGGAAAGTCACCGTCTATTTTCTGCAGGCTGCAATCGAAATATTCAAGTTTGGAAAATCTAAAAGGAAAAAACCTAGTACAAAAACATCCCCAACAAAAATGTTGTCAGACAAATCTAGAACTTTCAAACAACTTTCAAATGGATCTTGGTAGACTGCTGCATATTCGACTAAGTATAATTGGTTGCTTCTCAAAGATACTTCAGTGACACATATTTTAGTCAGATAATGCATGCTTTCTTTAGTTAGGCTTTTATCGACAAGGTCTTTTTCATCTCGCATTTTGTTCTTGTATGTACCATTGAACCAAATCCTGGTCATGTTCAGATTTACGAAGGGATAGAGAAGACGTAAAGCGTTGTGGTTTCCTATGTGATTGTGGGTTAGTTCCAACTGTTTTAGAAACAATAGTGGCTCCAGAACGCCTGGCTCACAGTCTTCTATACCACAATGATTTAAAACCAAAACCTGAAGCTTTGTTTCATTTAAACTCTGAAATGTTTCATTTCTTAAATTTTCTGTTGAACATTTGCCTCCGTATATAAACCTGGAGTCCATCTGGAGTACTTTCAGATTTGTTAGGTTGGAGAATCCTGGACCAAACAAAGGATCAGGAACTGAGTCGATATACAGACTGTGGAGCTTGACGAGATGAGGAAACACCCAATCCGGATATGAACTCATTTCAGTCTTTTCAAGATTTAGAGTTTGCAAACTCACAAGGTCACGAAAGACTTCCTCAGGGAAAGACACTCTGTTTGATCGCAGCTTGTTCCGAGCAAGGAGAAGTTTGGTGAGACTAAACAAGCCCCTGAATGCCTCTGGTTCCAACTCTGACAGCGGGTTTCTGTTGATATTAAGGTAGATGAGCTTCCTAAACTTGTAAAATGTGTTATTTGTGAGAATTTTCAGATTATTTTCACTCATATCCAGAGCTGTTATATTTTCCGGAAGGTAGTCTGGAACATGTTGAAGTTTTCTTCCAGTACAGTCAGCAAACAAACCTCCATATTGCATGTCAAAATGCAAGGCACAAGTCTGTTCATTTCCTTGGCACAATGTGAATGTCAGCAAAACAAGGAGAGTCCTCAACATTGTGTCTGAAACAACAAACAGTGCATGGACATCGCTCATCGTATACATTATTTTGTTGACATCAGAATAACATCTTATGCAATGCTAATTCATTCATCTGGTATTTGTTTTAATGTGTTGAGCCATGCTTTCTCCAAAGTTACAATTAATTCCAAACGTAACTGCAACTGGCAATTGTTAAAGATACGCCAACATAGGCAAGGCGTGGCTTGCAATGTTATGACGTTGGTTTGATGCGAGCATGTGCGATTTGCACCGCACTTAAAAGCTTGCTGTAGGCATAATGTCACTGTTATGTGTCTTACCTGTGTATGAACTCAAGTGAATTAAAATACTCATGATGATTAAAACAAATCAGGACAAATTACAAATATGGGAACAAAGAACTACATTTTCGTTATGCACATAATCTACCACGGTAAACGTAACGGTTTATTGTTACATGATAGCACTATCCATTGCGTAAAAACGCTCCAGGGCCTAGATTTTCGAAGCGATCTTAGCGCTAAGATAGTCATAAGTTCATCTTAATGGCACCTACGACTTTCTTAGCGCTAAGAGAGCTTCAAAAATCTAGGCCCAGGTGTTTAAAATTGTACAGAAGGGAGTTGTGTTTGCTATATTTAGACGAGTTCTGGAAGTTATACCACTGGGTTCTACATCCCTACGGGCCATTCTTCTATATTCTGACCCAGGGAGTTGGGGAATTTTCTTCAGTGTTTCTTTTAACGGTTGTTGCAGTTACTATATCTGTCTATATTGCAATAATCCTAGAATGCATCATACTGCTTTTGAATTTGTAGTGCCACTTTAATTTATACTGTCACTGTAATACCTGTACATGTGTTGTCATTTGTACTATTTTGGAAACATAGCTAATTTAGAATTATGGAATATCACATTGCCTTGTCTGTTGGTTGCACTGCGTTACGGACTGATTTCTGCTGAACTCCTGCATCGTTTTCAACCTGGGAATCAGCTCGGAACAAGTATTAAAGGACAAGGAAAAAATCCCAGCTCTTGTATATAAATAAACACATTATGAGAACGAGCTCTGTGCACTCCGTGTAACGTACAACTCTCAATGCATAAACACATGATTCAGTGGCACAATATTGTATATTGCCTCTTGGGAGAGATCGAATTAAATGTCACCAACAGTGTAATACACTTCAAACACTGTCACACAATGAGTAACACCGCATTTTACTGAATGTCAAAGGAACATTTGAACAAAGATGAAACACTGACATTGCTCAATGTACCTGACTGAATGTCAACAGAAACAGTGGAATGTAATTGAAACACCGTCACACAATGAATAACATCGCGCTGAATACAGATGAAAAACTGTAACAAAATGAATAACGTTGCACCTTACCCCATTTTATACATGGTCTCTGATAGTCGATAACTATAAAGTGGCACAAAAGCAGTGAGCTGGCTATTGTTTATCATTCTTTTTTCCAAAGCTTCTTATACTTATCTCACCTGTTGTTTCAAGGTCTATATCTTCCTAACAAACTGCATCTTTAGTTATGTACATAAAACGTCCGGAGTATCCAGAGTGACACCGTCAGCCTCCGTTCTTCTCACAGGTGTGGTGTCTCCGACCCTATCCCCGACAACTTTAACACAGCAGCGTTCCCCGAAAGAGGAGTTCCTGCTTGTTTAGGTTCAGTGAGCACAGTCATATGTTGTAAACACTATCATATGAGATAGCTCAGGTAGGATGTTACCCATGGTGATACTCCATCGGTTGTACTCGGCACAAACATATGCAATGGCAACTGTGTACCATCGGCTTGTTTCTGTGGGGAGATGATGGTTACCTTGTAATCTGTATCAGGTCAAGATTAAGCTGATGGTTCAGTGACATGTAACTGCTTAAACACAGAACACTAGAAACTCTTTGAAGAGGAGGTCAGCTATCCAATCCTCATAATATTGGTCTGTCAGGATATACTGAGTCAAAAAAAAAAAACTTCACATTCTTTCTACAGGGCACTATAAAAGAACAAGAAATGGTAAAATGGTTAAATTGTTATTATCTCATTGCTGAGATCTGTGTGTACTCGATACACTGACAGTGCCATAATCAGTTCCATTAGGCTACACCGCCGTTCCAAAACATGGGTATACAGAATGTCAAGTCACAAGAATAAAAATGCGAAATTTCTCAGTTAAATATCGTGTATGGCCGCCCCGCGCATTCACCACTGCCAAACACCGTCTCCTCATCGACTGCCTGATGCTTGTGAACACGTGGTTGGGGATTCTGCGCCATTGCTCTTGCAAGGCAGTGCCAAGTTCCTGCAAATTCTGAGGTTGGTTCCTAAGACCACGAAGCCTTCTCCCAAGTGCATCCCAAACGTGCTCTATTGGATTAAGGTCAGGGGACCTCGATGGCCAGTCCATGACGTTGATTCCAGCGTTTTGAAGGAAATTTCGTGTCAACATCGCGGTATGCGGCCGAGCATTATCATGCTGGAACTGTAGACCTGGGCCATGAGCCGCCATGAAAGGAACGAGTTCAGGGGTGAGCACCTGGTCGCGGTAAGCAGCAGCTGTGAGGTTTCCATGGATGACCAGAAGTCGGGAACGGTTGTTCCCACAGAAAGCACCCCACGCCATGCAACTTCCGCCCCCGAATCTGTCGACTTCCTGTACACAACATTGGGCATACCGTTCACGACGTCGTCTCCAGACTCTATGCCTGCCGTTCGCGAATCTGAGGGTAAACCTGGATTCATCGCTAAAGATGACTCGATTCCAGTCTCTCTGGGTACATCGGAGGTGACGTTGGGCCCACAGCAGACGTTGACGTTGATGAAACGGCGTCAATATTGATCCACGATATGGACGTCGAGAATGGAGATTGGCAGCCCGCAACAGATTTCGAATGGTCTGTGAGGACAGTCGACCTCTAAACATCTCAGCCCTGGTTCGTGTAGCCGGCAGAAATCTGTCACGTAGGTGACGTAGGACGATTTGACGGTCTTCTGCTCGTGACGTCACACGTCGACGACCCGACCTTGCTCGATCAGAAGTGGTGCCAGTTTGTTGTAGACGAAGGCTGCATCCCATTGCTCTTGCGACGTCAATAACTGATCTTCCCGCTTGCAACATGCCAACGGCACGTTCACGTTGCACATTTGACAATCGTGGCATTTCCAGTACCGTTAGAACTGTGGTTTAAAAGTGTTTTTTCAATTCTTGAGGCCAATGCAGACACGTGCATATGAAGAAAACTTCGATGCAAAGATCACGTGATCGACTGCACGTGCAAAACCTGATTTAGCACTAACGTCATTTGCACGACGAATGGATGGGTTTGAGTGGGTTTTGCTAACGTTTTTCTAGAGTCGAAAGATAGGGATCCCATTTCGGATACATAGATGTATCATCAGAGAAAAATTATTCATTATTTTTCAAATTACATTTTGTGAAGTTTCTTTTTTGACTCAGTATATTTCACCTCAGTGCTTCTGATAGCATACGTAATTAAACCCCATCCTCTCCGGTACAGCTTTAATAGAATTTAAGAGAGGAAAGTTGTACTACTAGTACATTGATACAGCTTATACATAAGTCGATCCACAACATTCACTAAGCTATTTTGGGAAAGTAAAACTTTATTCCAATAAATAATCATTCCAGTTGTTGATCATTTCTAGAGGCTATCCTCCATGTTCGCCATAAACCATAAAGTTTCGAGTTGACAGCTTAACTTTAAGTATACGCTTGCTATAATATAAGCAAGTTCGTCAATCAGAATGGACTTTCAAAGCCTCACACGTCAAAAACATATGGACGTTTCCGACTTTTGTATCTTTGCCAAAACAACCAACATGGTTCTCGAGACTTGCTCGCACAAACGATTTTAAGCATGATAAAGTATATCACATACAGCACCTTTAGAAGTATTGCGCCATCTTCCGGTCTCAACAGGAATGCTTTTCTTTCACGTTCGAAAGTTTAGCAATGGATGTGATACTGGTTCAGGAAGCGATGGTTGCATAGGGTGGTGTAGAACCATACACATGCTCGTGGGTTTCACCTAATGGGTACAGGTCTGAAAAGTGCATCATATCACTTCTGATTGTCTCTCTGCAGTAAGCCAAAAGGCACTGATATAATATAGTGAGTGAGTGAGTCTAGTTTTACGCCGCACCTAGCAATATTCCACATACATGGCGTCGGTCTGTAAACAATCGAGTCTGGACCAGACAATACAGTAATCATCAGCATTAGTATCGATCCATACAACTGAGATACGATGTCAGGTGTCAACCAAGTCAGCGAGCCTGACCACCCGATCCCCTTAGTCGCCTCTTACGACAAGCATGGGTCACTGAAGATCAATTCTAACCCGAATCTTCACGAGTCCTGATATACCTGGAATGCCGTTGAAAGTAACGAAAAAGTCTAACTCGATTTCTCTATGCATAACTGGCCTTGATCACCTATATCTCTTCTGAAGTATGCACGGTATATACATGAACATTAATGTCCAAACATGCGATCGTACCCTAACATACATGTAAAGCACGTGCTTCAAGCAATATGTCAAAAGCTATGGGTCCTTTCAAGCGCATTGGGGTATAAATTTCATAATGGTAATTGCAGTTTTCTAAACAGATTTAAAATATGACCGTGCTAAAAATTACTTATCTTGACATGACAAGACATCCACTCTCAGAAATCACAAAGTGTAGCATGTATGACGCAGGGCTATGCTGTCGGATGAGGTAGATAGATAGGTAGATATCTTTATGTCTTTATATCCTCCACGATTGAAGATTACAGGTTGCTGAATAACATTATACATGGACACAGATGTAATTTAAATGGCAGCAAGAGGTATGCACATAACATCTTTACAATGAAATGAGGTTGCAAAAGATGATAAAATGTCTTTAAATCGGGATCATACAGTCTCTCCACGTTTCAAACGGAACATCCGAGAAACAGTCAGGTCCACCTCCAATCATAAATGACATAATGGCATCGTCATCATTAGACCGCCAGTCAACAAAGGTATTCATCAATGACATCACATAGACTTTCAAACAGTCCATTTCTTACAAGCATCGTGACAGGGCAGATAAGGATGTGTTTGACAATGCCATCAGCTACTCTTCCACACTCACATTCACCAGATTGGACTTTGCTGCCACCGAGTCTTGGTATTGTTGAAAAATCGTAAACTCTGTCAGGAGCATGAATAGCGAGCTGCCATATATTTAGTGTACAATGTTGTCTTATCAAGGCGTATCTATTCAAATCCTTTCTGACAGATATGTGTCTCTGTAATGATTTAGTCTCCACTCGACTTGAGAGGAAACAGGTGGCTTCCGGTGACGTAAACGATCGTCCAAGACCTGGAGGATCAATCACCGAGTCCGAATTTGTTAGACAAGACGGGAATCAAAAATTGCCGATGTCACGTTGAATTGTAACAATGACACGACGCAATCCCAGGACCCAAGAACGGGGCCGAAGAAAAGAATGGGAGTCTGACTCTCCATCAGCACAATTAGCATGAGACTGGCGGTCTAAGGGAACGTCGTCCGATCAGGCGACCCTTCATCGCAGATAGGCAAAGGAAGGAAAGTCTGGCCTGGTGCAAGCTCCAGGAAAACCGCAATTTGCGAACTTGTCGTAGGGTCGTAAGACGTGGAGACGAACGACGCATATCACCAGAAGATGATCCATGCAACCGTACCATTTGTTTGTGGCTCAGTGATGGTGTGAGGTTGCGTTTCTGATGACTGCAATTTTTATCTCATTGTAGCACTTGGGATACTCAATGGCCAACGTTAACAACAGGAGGTACTGGAGATTGCCGTCGTGTAATATTTTGACATTCATTCGGGGATGACAACGATAGGCATCATCGCTCTCAAGCCGTCATCACAAATTTACAGAACAACGCAATCGAAACATTACCATTGCGCCCCAGGAGACCCCACATGAACCCCATCAAACACCTAGGGACTATCATGGACCACAAAAAACAGATCCCATGTTCGAAATCTGCAGAATTGACGCAGACACCTTATGAGGAATGTCAAAGAATTCCGATGCTGAGAATTCAATGCTTGAATGACAGTACGAGGAGGAGACTGTCAGATGTTATCCGTGCGAGCTGTGAATACATCAAGTACTGCTGTGGTAGCCAGTGGTGCTTCATACAATCACAACAATCAATATTTGAAAATTGTATGACAATCAGATAGGTGCTGTAATCATGGTGACCACACTGTCATTGATGATATTCACGTTTGTGTTTCTCTCAGGTTGAAACTATATTGTCACCAAATTGCAATTTCATTATTCTTTTTAATAACAGTAAAATATGTTTCAGTTACCAATTTAACACCAGAAGTCGTTTTCAAAGCATATATAGTGAGTAAGTTGGATTTTACGTTGGAGTTTAGCAATATTCTAGCAATATGACGGCGGTGGACACCAGAAATAGGTTCACACATTGTACTCAAAGCATATATAACATGTAGTGTTTGCGTACGTTTAATACAGAAAAGTGGGTAGTACTTGATTACTGCTCGGATGTATATGATCGGTTTTTGGTTATCTGTCTAAACAAAGGGGCAGTTGTGTGGAAAAGTATATTTTGCTTTCGAAGGGGTTTATAAGCTCCGCTCTATATAGTACATCCGATCATCCAACCATGTCACCTCCCTTATGCGGTGTAGAGACCAGCAACTTATCCCCAAAGGCCTCAGAATGAGAAGTCCTGTCCAGTCAACTGCAGCTAACAATATTCTTAAGAAAGCTTCCCAACTCCTCATCCAAGAAAGAATCCGTCACCATCGTAAGACCAAAGCCATCGCCCTCAACACCATAGCTAACCAACAAGAACAACTCCAGACCATCCTGAGCCCCGACAACTACAACACCCTTAGACAGCTACAGAACCAATCCAACCACAACCTTGATGATGCCACTAAGAAGACCCACATAACGAAACTGAACAGCCTCGTGCCCAACGGACCTATCACCAAACGCCAACCACGTGATGATTACCTCAATAAAATCAATCTCAGCAGCAGGACCCTCAGCGATGAGGACAGAGCTGTACTTTCAAAAGGCTTGAATTTTGCACCTTCGCCTCGCCAGCACAACGACACGTTCATCGCCAATATTGAGAAAGGTTTACAGCAGTTTGCCCCTGGAGGTAAGGTAGACTATCTGAGACACCAGATAGCCAACATTCTGGTAAAGAAAAACAATACAAATGCCAAAATAAAAGATAACTTGTCCAAAGCTAACAAGGCAGCCCTTAAACAATTGCAGTCTGACCCAGCTATCACCATCGCACCAGCAGACAAAGGAAGAGCCACTGTCATCATGGACACCACAGCCTTCACCACCCTAACCAACAACATCCTGAACGACCCCGCCACCTACAAGCAGCTGAAGAAAGACCCAACCAACAGCCTCCAACGTGACCACAAAGCCCACCTCAAGGAACTCCGTGACAACAACGAGATAGGCCCCACTCTTCATAAGCAGCTCACAGTCCCTCATCCACGACCACCCTATGCCCGCGCTACCATTAAAATACACAAAGACCCCATCAAGGCCCGCCTACTAGTCTGCTCCAGAAACACCGTCAACTACAACACCGCCCAACACATTGCCCGTCTCTTCGCCCCCCTTGGTAAATCAGCCAAATCCTTTGTCTCCGACTCCGCCGAATTCTGCACCAAGATCAGTGCAATCACCCAGCCCGGCAAACTAATTAGCTATGACGTCGTAGACCTTTTTACCAATGTACCCAGAGAGGAAGCCCTTACCATCATTCGGAAAAGACTCCAAGACCTCCACCCTGACCTAGACACCCACCTCAGCATTGACAGTATAATCCGCCTCATCAACTCCTGCATCAGCTCAACCTACTTTACCTGGTCAGATAAGATTTACCAGCAAACCAATGGGCTACCTATGGATTCTCCTCTCTCCCCTATCATCACTGAGATATACATGACAGAACTAGAAGACAAGGCCCTGCTGACATCAATCATTGCACCAATTTGCTGGTATAGAAAAGTAGATGACACCTTCGTAGTTCTCAACCCCAACGACAACCCAGAACACCTCCTCAACCACATGAATTCCCAACATCCCCGTATGCGGTTCACAAAGGAAGAAGAATCTGACAACAAGCTCCCTTTCCTCGACGTCCTAGTAAAGAAAGAAGACAACAAGCTCTCCACTACTGTGTACAGGAAACCCACCAATACCTTCACTTTATCTCCAACCACCCGCTACAGGTTAAGAAACGCATCATATCCACTCTCACCCGGAGAGCTAAGAACATCTGCTCTAGAATCCGAACTTAACCACATCCGCCATGTCTTCGTCCATTATAACCAGTACCCCCAGAAGCTAGTCAACAATATCATCACAACCACCCTCAACCCAAGAGATAAACCACCCCGCCGGCAATCAGCACCCTTTGTAATAAGTATCCCGTATGTCCCAGCAGTCAGCCACCAGATAAGACGACTCCTTCAGCAGCAACCAAGCATAGACGTCCTGTTCCAAAAAGGCAAATCCATCCAGAACCTCCTCCAAGCCACAGGCAAACCACCGTCAACAACAAAAGATTACCCCTCGGGAGTAGTCTACCAGATTCGTTGTCAATGCGGAGACCTCTATATTGGTGAAACATCCCGCCCGCTCCCACTACGAATCAAGGAACATAAAGCGTCAGTCCAGAAAAACGACTCCAAATCCGCCATAGCTGACCACACCCAAGCCAACCCTGACCATGCCATCCTATGGAACAACATCGATATCCTAGAAATCAACCGACAGGACTACAAAATTAGGAAACTCCTTGAAGCCATAAACATCCAACGCCACAACCCCACCATGAATCGAGATCAAGGTTATTTCATCCAGTCAGCCTATCAACACCTAATCAAACACCACCACCAGTAATCCTTCCCTACCTCCGTTGTCCATCTGGCTTCCATGCTTCCTCCTTTGTGCTTGTAATCACAACTATTATACGTCAACTCATCAATTGTATAAACTCAACTCTAATCACAATCAATCACTCTGTACATCAACCTCCTCTGCTGTAATCACTTATCAAATATCCAATGTACATCAACCTTGTTAATTGTATATACTCACCATACAGCTATGTATATATTCTCCTTGCTTCAGTTGTTGTATCTCTTGCTTGATAACGGTGTTAGTACCTACACCGAAACGTCGCACTCATTGCCATAAAGAAGTTGACTATCCATACAAATCAGTTTTCCTTCATCTTCACAACTTCTAAAATGCCTCATCAAAGCCCATCCTAACCACACCATCAAATGGGACAAGACAGAACCATAGTAAAGAACCCGTCAGACTACAAAATCCGTAAACTTTTGGAAGCAGTATACATCAAGAAAATAGGACCTGCCCTCAAAAGAGATGAAGGATACTACATTCCCAGTGCCTACCATCACTTGATAATGTAATCAATAATATTCCTTGTGTACATTACCTGTTTCATTCCAACCATGTACATCAGCCCCTTCAATTGTATAAACATCCACCTGGCTTCCTATCAGTTATATAAGCTCTAACTCAGTCCTTGTATGTCACCCTACTGGCTTCCTATCAGTTTACTCAATCTCTCATACAAACGTTGTACATCAACCTCATCTATTCTATAAACAACTCATTGCCTATCTACTGTAACAACAACTCCTGTATATATTCTCTCAATTTTTTGCTCATGTATCACTTGCTTGACAACGACATTAGAACCTATGTCGACACGTCGCCTCCACAGAATAAAAGAAGTTGTATATCCATAATAATTGTCATTATTCTTCTTTATGAGGAAGTTGTTTGACCTGTAACAATATCATCCAATAGGATGCGATGCATCTCAAGGCATCCAAGCCGAGACAACAGTATTTACTTACTTCCTGCTCTGTTACAACGTCACAGAATAAGACGTCCGTCAAAGCCGATGTTTAGTTACGGTTCGAAAGCAGGACATCAGACAGGTTAAATGGATTTAATGTCGAGTTCAAGGGTATTTCTGGTCTTCAGGGCGTGAGACTACGTATTTGTACTAGTACGGTTTTACAGTAGCAGCCTGGTATGGCATGGTCCAGCGGGGTGTCACCCGCCCCGTACTTTTATAAGTGAAGGTAAAACCCCGACTGCATCACATACATATCTTTGATGCCTAAAGCGGCATAAAACCGTATCCACTCACTCACTCACTCACTCCAGGTGGGTTACATACTTGGAGGAAATATTTGACAGAATTGGACAAGAGAGAGTTTGTTTTTCTGTGGAAGTGGGGTACTCGTACTGCTGTCGCTCTTCAATCTGCTTCGTCGGGTGGCCCTCGAGGACCAGAAACTTTATGATTGCTCTGCACTCAAGCTTATCCATTTCTGCCATTTCAATACGGGTACATGTGATTAGATGTCACGTGACCGGAAACTAGCGACATGTGCATGTCAGTATTACGTTTATGTGAATGCTGTAAACCATTTTCAATATCTCACAGTTATATTTATCCTGCACATATCAGAATTATTTTATGCTCAAAACTTTTGATAGCCCCTCGTAGCAGCCAGAGTACAAACACATGGGGTGCGTGTATGTATGTGTGTGTATCGCACCGTCCAGAGATAATGTCACTGCACAGCTACAGAGGAACATACGAGGAAGAAGCCCGTGTTGAGAATTAAGTGCATTTCCCAATGGGACAAGCATGGAGTGTTCGGGTGCATGTGAAAACTTCAGTCTTTGTTAAGCAAGCCACCATGGAGATCATTCCGCTACGCTTGATAGGTCCACTTAAACGTACGGTGTACAAGGAAGTTAGCGACCTTGACACGCGGTTTTAACCACCAATCGCATAAAAGGGTCCTGGGAAAATAACGACAATACAACAAATACGACAGCAAACATGCCACCTTTATTCGCTGGCATCTTTCCAAGGTGAGGGGCTAAATTCACTGTAAATGGGTAGATGAACATGACCATGAAGCACTTATATTTCCAGATTCCATGGTAGCAATTACAGTTATAGAAACTGGTGCAAATATACACATACCTATTACATTTTTATTGGATAAATAAATAGCGCACATATCCACGCACTAGTGCATGCTCAAGGCGCGGTGTGTTTCTTCATCGATCATTTGATGTCAATCTCAACGGCACATCATATTATCAATCTCAACTACGTGGGGATCATACAACCCTTGCTGCAACAATGCGCACCGAGTTATTGTGGCTTTCTCATCCTTACAAGGTACCCATTCACAGCTGGGGTGACTGGGACACATAGTCACTGTACTTTGTCCAAGTTTACTGCACGTTGCTGTACCCGCAACTAGGTGTTTGCACATATTCATGTAGCCATCATCTGGTCATATACCAACGTATTCGTGTTTTTTCTAAGTGGACAGGGTTGTGTACTGTACACTAGGGTTGTGACAACACTGAAGGAATCTGCACACAAAGTTGATTCCAAGGTTTTACACCCGGTCACAGGTGGCTCGAACCATTACTGGACGTGCACGTGCTGCTATGAACTGTTGTTACAAATTCAGATAAATATATAAGCATGACATCAATCTTAAATTATGGCTGAACTACTGAAATGTTATATCTCTGGGATGAAGCATTTTATCGTCCTAATATAGCTTCCATATCATTTTTCTAAATGTTTTAGATCATATCACAAGATTATGGCTATTGTTACCATCAACGTCTTATTAATAACTTTCAACACGTTAGATTCCAGCAGTTTTTCTGAGATCCTTCCACAGAGTCCCGTCTCCGTTGACCTGGTAATCCTCTACACGCAATATGCACTTCTCCTCTACAACATTCAGCAGACGCTCAGGTAGGTCCTCCACCTGTACAGGGCCCACAAGTAGCACAATGATCCGGTTAGGAATCAGATCTGTTACCGAGTAAAGTGCTGCATCAATGGTAAATTGTGACCACTGAGAACAATCTTGAAGGAAGTCATCTGAAATCACCAGAACAGACTTCCAACTGTTAGTGGTACCGCAAATAATACCGTCGGCGATAGGAACACCTGGAAGAACATCCCGATCCTTCAGGAACAGACGCACAGGCTGATTACACAGTTCCAGCTCTGGTCGTACTTTCCGATAGACGAAAGGAATGTCAGCCTCACAATACGCGACAAAGAGGGTGAAATCAAAATCTTTGGCTGTTAAATATTGAATGCCCAACCCAAAGAGTTTCAGTAAAGTATTACGATATCGCACTGGATTGTTGGAGACTATGTATACTGCAATAATTGAAGTAAACATTACAACCATTAGTGTAACTGTGATGCTAAGCATCAATTTGCCTGTACAGAAGTGAAACAGTCTTTCATGATGTTGGACCACATCAACAGTTGAGGTCATTATGCCATTATCCAGAATGCAAGGGAAGTTCTTGTCAGTCTCGTAAATGACAGGTGTATCCACCAACCAAAGAATGAAGTCCAGATTTTCACAACTACACGAAAAGGTGTTCCCTTTGAAAATAAGTTTGAGGTTGTTCTTTTCAAATGACAAATCCAGTTTTGATCTTGTGCCTTCATTCAACTGTCCAATCAGGTTAAAGGACATGTCGATAAGGATAAGCCGTGGATATTCAATGGTTTCAATAGGAATGGTGTCAAACTCATTGTGAGATAAATTTAGATGAATGATTGTATTAGAAATTGGAGGAAGTGATATATCAGTCAGTTCATTCATTGAAACATCCAAGTATTGTGTTGATTTTAGAGGACTGAATACACTATGTTCACTATGGGCAAATTGTAACTTGCAATTTCGTAATGACAAATGTGTTACGTTTTCAAATGAGTGAAAATCAAACACATTATCAAACTTGTTTCCTGATAAATCAACATTGCTAACATTTTCTAAACCCCCAATGTTCATTAAACCAAGAAACATGTTAGAAGGCAGCAGAACAGTTTCAAGATTGTGTGTGTTTTGAAATACAATTTCTTGGATGAATTTTGAAGATCCTGATACGGCAGTTAAACCAAAATATCTAATTTTAGGAGGCAATGTGACTGTTACTGTTATGTTTTTACCTAATGTTTCATAACTTTGAGTCCTCGGAAAGTCACCGTCTATTTTCTGCAGGCTGAAATCTGAATATTCAAGTTTGGAAAATCTAAAAAGGAAAAATAGTAAAACAACATCCCCAACCAAAAAGTTGTCAGACAAATCTAGAACTTTCAAACAACTTTCAAATGGATCTTTGTAGACTGATGCATAATCGACTAAGTATAATTGTTGCTTCTCAAAGATACTTCAGTGACACATATTTTGTTCAGATAATGCATGCTTTCGTTAGTCAGGCCTTTATCGACAAGGTCTTTTTCATCTTGCATTTTGTTCTTGTATGTAGCATTGAACCAAATCCTGGTCATGTTCAGATTTCCGAAGGGATAGAGAAGACGTAAAGCGTTGTGGTTTCCTATCTGATTGTGGGTTAGTTCCAACCGTTTTAGAAACAATAGTGGCTCCAGAACGCCTGGCTCACAGTCATCTATACCACAGTAATTTAAAACCAAAACCTCAAGCTTTGTTTCACTGAAACTCTGAAATGTTTCATTTCTTAATTTTTCTGTTGAACATTTGCCTCCGTATATAAACCTGGAGTCCATCTGGAGTACTTTCAGATTTGTTAGGTTGGAGAATCCTGGACCAAACAAAGTATCAGGAACTGGGTCGATATACAGACTGTGGAGCTTGACGAGAGGAGGAAACACCCAATCCGGATATGAACTTATTTCAGTCTTTTCAAGATTTAGATTGTGCAAACTCACAAGGTCATGGAAGGTTTCCTCAGGGAAAGATACTCTGTCTGATCGCAGCTTGTTCCGAGCAAGGAGAAGTTTAGTGAGATTAAACAAGCCCCTGAATGCTTCTGGTTCAAACTCTGACAGCGGGTTTCTGTTGATATTAAGGTAGATGAGCTTCCTAATCATGTAAAAAGTGTTATTTGTGAGAATGTTCAGATTATTTTCACTCATATCCAGAGCTGTTATATTTTCCGGAAGGTAGTCTGGAACATGTTGAAGTTTTCTTCCAGTACAGTCAGCAAACAAACCTCCATATTGCATGTCAAAATGCAAGGCACAAATCTGTTCATTTCCTTTGGCATAATGCGAATGTCAGCAAAACAAGGAGAGTCCTCAACATTGTGTCTGCAACAACAAACAGTGCATGGACATCGCTCATCGTATACATTATTTTGTTTGTTTGCAATGCTGAATCATTCATCTGGTATTTGTTTTAGTATGTTGAGCCACACTAAGTTAGTATTAATTCCAAACGTAACTGCAACTGGCAAAAATAGGCAAGGCGTGGCTTGCAATGTTATGACGTTGGTTTGGTGCGAGCATGTGCGATTTGCACCGTACTTAAAAGCTTGCTGTAGCCATAATGTCACTGTTATGTGTCTTACCTGTGTATGAACTCAAGTGAATTAAAATACCCAAAAATAACTAAAAAGTTGACTGTTTCTTCATGATCATTAAAACAAATGAGGACAACTTACAAATATGGGGACAAAGAACTACATTTTGGTTATGCACATAATCTACCAGGGTAAACGTAACGGTTTATTGTTACATGATAGCACTATCCTTTGTGTAAACGCGCTCCAGGGCCAAGATTTTCGAAGCGATCTTAGGGCTAAGATAGTCATAAGTTCACTTACGACTATCTTAGCGCTAAGAGAGCTTCACCACTCACCGTATCCACTCACTCACTCACTCACTCCAGGTGGGTTACATTCCTGGGGGAAATTTCCATTCCTCGAGACATAATTGGACAAGAGAGAGTTTGTTTGTCCTGGGAAATGGGGTACTCGTACTGCTGTCGCTCTTCAATGTGCTTCGCCGGGTGGCCCTCGAGGACCAGAAACTTTATGATTGCTCTGCACTCAAGCTTATCCATTTCTGCCATTTCAATACGGGTACATGTGATTAGATGTCACGTGACCGGAAACTAGCGACATGTGCATGTCAGTATTACGTTTATGTGAATGCTGTAAACCATTCTTTAATATCTCACAGTTATATTTATCATGCACATATCAGAGTACAAACGCACACACACGTGAGTAGTATATATAATAGGGGTATGAGATCAAGTCCAATAAAAGCCTCTGCAAAGCCTTATTTCACAAATAAAGCTTTTGTCAGGCCCTTAGATCCCGCCCCAGTACATCTACTACTTTTGAGCCCCCAGTTAACCTCCAGGCCACACGTGACACTATTGTGTCGCTATGACAGCAAACCGGATCACGTGGCACTATGTCTTGTGAAACAGTTTAATGTTTCGCACCCCTTGTTCTATGTACTTTTTTTTCTCGTCTTCGCCTATAGCAGACTTACGAGACCTGAGCCGGATTTCTTGTTTCATCTTACGGTATTTGTCGAGTTCAGAGAGGATTTAGCGAGATTCTTCCTCTGAGATCTTACTGTCAGTGAGTGCTGTAGAAATACGCTCACTTACCGTGTTCAGCTTTGCTTCAGCCAGAATCCTGATCTCGTCGTGTTTCAATGCCTTCCGGTGCAGTCTGCGTGACACAAACTTAAACACCAATCCAGCCACCCCTGACACCCCAGCTGTTATTTCGATGCCTAGCACTGCGGGTGCAGCTTTGATGGTGGCCAACAACCCCACACCTACTGCCCCTAACCCCATACTGGTGGCCATAAGGGCGGTATCAACACCATCCACGACATTGAAAGCTCTATGGTACTTCTTATACAATGCTGCCCGTGTGTCGCGGTCTTGTTCTAGTTGGTGTTTTATATCGCATAACTGTTTCAAGTGGAACCCGTCTATGGTTTCCAGTGGCTTCGGGGCTTCCTCCGCAACTGGGTTCAGCCCCATCCTGTGTGCATATAGTATATCTTATGAGATATTTTTTAATTGGGCTTCAGTTAATAGTCGATCAATGTACTTGAGGCTTATAAGGTGTAGATCCTCATGCAGGGGAATTGGCGAGAGGTTAATAGGTAACTCTGCGTCCACACGAGCCCCAGAGGAGGGTCTTATTGAGGGGGCTATAGAACCCGTTGAGGGGTCCGGTTGTATGATGATACGGTAACGTTGGTTATTGGTCCGGGGACTCCAGTGTACTGTCACCCCGGGTAAAAGTTGTTGCTCTTTACTAACAGAATGTCTGAGGAGATAGACTTCTATGATGAGTGTGGAGCCTGGTACCATAGCCGGAACCTCCTGGTACCAGTAGCGGTTAAACCTTAACTCACCCCCCTCGTATGCCTGTAACATATTGGGTAAAACCGGTCTTAGTGTAATATTTGTATTAGACCCCGGAATGAAACCCCCGGGCAAGGTACCGTTATTCCTAATTTCAGAGATACGGCTATATTCGTTTAATGAGATATAAGGTGCTGTGAGGGTCATATTGAGCAACCATTTGGGTTCCCTCAAGCTTGCTGGTTAAAGCAATCGGCCTATACACGTGGCCGTCAAAGTGCAGGACGTACGAGGTGTCTTCCTCACAAGGCTGATCGAATCCTCCATGTGTCCTAGATCCCCTAGTGTAACGTTGGGGTGATGACTGGTCATTGCTATAATACTATTACGAGATAATTTCCAATTGTTTTTCTGATAATTTCAGGGGCGCACTTCAACCCCAGTGTTGAAGTGTATGTTGTCACGTAGGAAGATCTTGCTAAGTGATATCGTGTCTTCCACGGTCACGGTGACCCCCTGCAGACTGGTGTTGGAGTCAACACCCACCTGCACGTAAACAGTGCAAACGTGATACTGGTGTCGTTTCCCCCACCGGAGTTTGATCCCCTTCACGATTTCGACTTCATCACGCGATGGTTCCCCTAGGTAGACTTGGATGACTAGCGTTGAGTTCGCCGGTAGACTCTCCAGGATGTTGACCACGCCTTCGAATTCAGACACCAACTGCAATACCACGTTTTGCATCCCGGGCTTGCTAGATAGCATGTGGGCTGCCGTACTGGCGAGTGAACTGATGATTACACTACGTCTCTGCGTCGGGACGTAAGCCACGAGCAGGGTTCCGTTGTTCACGACTTTGTTTAGGTAGTTGTCTTTGTTCTCCGTGAACACATAGGGGGAGCCGAGCCTAATGTTAAGAAACCAGTCCACTTCTGCAGGCAACAACACCCACTTGCCGTCGTCAGTTAAGACGAGGGAATACTGCTTATATTTGGTTATGTCCGCCACGTTGCTCTCAACATCTTCTAAGTCGAACAGTTTGCCCCCGAACGATGGGTATATTATCCATTTATCATCACCGGTGTTGACTAGGGTGTACCGAGTGTTGACGACCGCTCTTGAGGTATCTACTATGTCACTTAGGTTCCTAGTACCACCGATGGAGGGGACTTCAACGCGTTTGTAAATGTTGTTTTTCAGTTGCAAGGTGTACAATTTACCATCTACTTCGGGGTCGTCGAATCCGCGTGTCCCCGAGGTCAGAGATTCCCGCATTGATGCATTTTTTCAACTTCATCCCGGGACCTTGTGCGCTAGTGATTTTTGTGAGTGTTATGCTGAGGTATCCTACATTCACACGATTATGATTTATATCTAGCACCAATATTATCCGCTCAGGGATGTTGCCTCGAGTTAACCTCTTATACTGCCGCGGTGAAAACGATTCGGTTCTGCCGTCGTTGTATTTCTCCGTTTACACCGGTACGGCTCTCAGTATCGTGGAAGGGTGACCCCCTTGAATGTTGTCCGTTGTGCTCAGCTGACCGAGATGAATGCACAGCTCTCGGTACGGTACTAGGTCGGGTAACTTCGTGCCTGTGACGGTTGTTGTTGGTTTTATCTCGTCCGGCGGCATTACGAGTGTCCTCGCCAATGGTCGACCGAGCCTCAAGGGGTTTCTTCCGTTGTTGATTAACACCACTGTGCCGTTTGAGTCGTTCATCTTGAGTTCGGCTCCCAGGGGTTTGAAGACCTCGTCGCTTAGCGAACACACGCTGTAGCAGCCGTCAGTTATCTGGATGCGAGCTCCACTGACGAACAGCTTATTGTTCTTGACGTTGATGTTAGTCCATCGCGGTAGGTAGGTGATATCGCAGAGTGCGATTTCGAGTTGACCCGACGTGTTATCGATCGCGTGCATCAGCTGAACAGACTCGCCGCTCGTTATTCCTAGAAGTGTTATGTACATGTTAGAGTATATATACTCATTATATAATACTTTAAAAATGTACTCCCCAGGAGTGTTTTACCCTAAACAGGACACAGATTTCCCCCACAAGATCGTGGTCGCTGCTGGGATGAATTTCAGCGCCCAGTTTATAGATGTGTTCGACCAGTATAGGTTTTCGCTGAGTCAGTCTGTGTTCACGTTCCACGTGTACTACCAGATCAGACGTATCCTCAATGAGATCAGCGCCCGGCTCCCACAGGACAAACGTGGGACGCGGTAATCAACCAGCATGATAGACGGGCCTACGAACGCGTTTGCAATGAATTCGAACTAGACCCGTAGACGGATTGGCGTTTGCCGGGACCGAACCACGGTTCACAACATGCACCTCACAACAAACGAGTGGGATGACCGTTACATGGCTTTCGACAACAGCAAGGATTACCGAGTCTGGAGGTTCGAGCAGGGGGCAGGGGATGACTGGAAAAAGTTCATGTTGGACACGTCGAGAGGGCTCACTCATGCCGGTGTAATCAGGTTGAACGACTCGATTCGAACGTACGTGTGGGCGCTGTTGGGTGCGCAGACGCAAACGCGTTCCAACATCCTGGGTAAGGGGACTGCTTACGACGCTCAGAAACAGTTCGTTGTTAACGTTGAGGATGCTATCAATGCTCCAGTTGATCTCCCGAGTGGCATCAAACGCTACCAAGACATGTTGGAATACGCCAGGTCGAAAGTCGACTACGTGTTCGACGTGGGACTGCACATAGCTCCGAGTGATATGCAACTGAGAGTAAAAAAGTGGTGGGCTACAACAACGAAATAGTCATAGCCATGGCGGACCAAAAGTTGGGTGTCAACCCCGATGTCAACGTCCCCTGCGTCCCACCACCCACGACCGGTGAAACGGGTATAGTGGCGCCACCCCCGAAGCCTAAGGTTCAACCCACACCCCTACAGCCCCAACAGCAGGCGTCCAATCAGCAC